GTGCTAGGTGTATCAAAAGTAGTTTTCATCTCCCCAAGGGAAGCTGAGGAAATTAAACCGTTCTTGGTCTTGTTTTATAGCTTCTTTTTATCATATTAAACAACATTAGCGGGTGTTTCTAAGATGAACAATGATCATTTTAATCTCTGCCTGGTTCACTGCATATGGGAATTGTAATGTTTGCATGGTGGCAGGAAATGGGGGTTTAAAAAAAACCCCACAAGTATCATAGCATGGTGGTGGTTCATAAATTGGTAAATTCCACAGCCCTTCTATATTCCTTTAAATGTGATGCTAAATCTTTCTCTGCAATACATACAGGATCACCTTATCAAACAGGGCATGAAAGCGGAACATGCTGCTTCTCTCATTGAATTGGCATCTACCAAGTGCAGCTCAGTGAAATATGATGTGGAAATAGCAGAGGAGTACTTTGCTAGACAGGTAAGTTGGTATGAATACTGGAGACATATAAGCAGGTGTGGAGCATTGATCTTTGTGTGGCGCATTGCTGTTGTAAATGTCATTTCTATTTTAAATGTCATTCTATTTTAAGATTTCCTCTTTCTGTGGGATCGACTGTACCACAATTCTCCAGCTACATGAGGTTCCCAGCTTGCAGTCCATTTATACCCTTGATGCTGCAATTTCCAAGATCCAAGTTTCTCTAGATGAGCATTTTTCCAAACTAGCTGCAGAAACCGACCCACACAAATCATCTGAGATAACCAAGAATCTGCTGCCTGCTACGCTACAGCTTATTGACACTTATGCTACATTCACCAGGTACGCTGCTGACGTAGCCCCTCGAGAGGGATATTGTTTTCTTTTCTGTACTTGGCTCTTCATTTTGTGTTAGCTCCCCATCCCTGTAGTGTTCTTTTTTTATAGTCCAGAATGATGGCTCTATCTTAGATCACATAGAAGGTACCATGTTAAATCAGTAAACTGTCTAAAATCCATAGGTTTTATTATTCTTTTTCAAGTAATCTACTATCTGATCTTTCAAGCCTTTCCTACAAGCTGCAAAACAGCTTTATCTCTGAAGATGAAATCTCTTCCTAACATCCTGACAGTCACAAGAATAA